CGCAGCTTGGCCTCTGCAGACGCAGCTCCGTCGCCACCAAGGCTAACCTGAGCCTCCCAAGCCTGCAGCCGACGGACGCTCCGGCCGCTGCCGCCTCTCCGTCTCTATGGTCCACGCCGCACTTCCTCATCCGGGGCCTCAGCCAGCCATGCGGACTCGCCTAAGTCCCGCCCCCGCACGCGCGCGCGCGCGCGCGCACTCTAAGGGGCCGCTCTTCTCACCGCGGACCTCCGCCCTCTGCTAAGCGCCGGCAGCCGCGCTCAACCCCGCCCCGCTGCGGCTCAGACGCTTAAAGGGAAACACACCTTCTGACTCTGCTTGGCTGAATCTCCAAGGCCCAGTGCAGGTCTCTGCTGGCACCACACCGAGTCAGTCTACCATTTTTCTGACTTGGACGTTTGCAACTCTCAAATCCTCCCTACTACCACGCTGGCAACTCAGAGATCTTTAAGCTCAACCCCGCCCCGCTGCGGCTCAGACGCTTAAAGGGAAACACACCTTCTGACTCTGCTTGGCTGAATCTCCAAGGCCCAGTGCAGGTCTCTGCTGGCACCACACCGAGTCAGTCTACCATTTTTCTGACTTGGACGTTTGCAACTCTCAGATCCTCCCTACTACCACGCTGGCAACTCGAGAGATCTTTTAATAACTGGAATCACTGTTTTAAGTCACTTGCTGCTTCTGATCACACGGACCACTAAATCCCACGTGACCACGGTGTCTCTAGTTGGTTACCATGTTTTCATCTCCTCTCCGCTTTATCAGTGAAAGTACCGTGTTTCATCTCCCTGACTTGTTCATTATTTGTCCCCTTTCACATCCTTGCTTGTTCTGTTCATTACAGCATCTTAATGCAGTGTCTGGCAGACATTAGAAGGAAAGGGCAAAAAAAAAAAAAAATTAACTCATTAATAAGGATGTCCAGAGAATCTACTCGTACTCGCCCCAAACCACACAGATCTGTGTAAAAGCCAGAAGTCTGTTGCTTCTTGGCATTTATCAATTTGGAGAGAGCTAGAGGTTTGGAGGGGTTGGGGAGACATATTTGCTCAAGATAGCTTTGAGCCACGGAATATGCTGATAGGCTGGAAACACTCAAAGATCAACTCTATTGTCAAGAGGCTGAATGAAACCACAGAGTTCGTACATATGTACAGCTTATATATACGCTACCTATTTTCTCATGGATACAGATGCTGTTAGGATGAAATAACAAGAAATTCAGTTGAACACATATTACAATGTCCTTGTCAAGTACTTTCCCAGGCAACAAGAAGCCTTTAGCCTGGGGTCTGAGAAACTCAGTATTATTGAATTGTCCTCTTGTGTCAGATTATAATATGGCCCCACAAAGCCCCATTACTGATTTTATCTTCATTTAAAATGTGATATTTTCTCAGCATGTACTTGTATTAATTTTATTAAGTTTTTTTTTTTTGGAGGTACTGAGTTTGAATTCAGGTCTCTTGCTTGCTAGGCAGGTACTCTATCACTTGAGCCACTCTGCCAGCCCTTCAATTTTTGTTATTTTTAATTTTTGCTTTTGAAACACACTCTCACTATGTAGTCCAGGCTGGCCTCCAACTCACAATCCTCCTGCCTCAGCCTCCCAAGTGCTGGAATTATAGGTGTGTACCACCACACAGAGTTTCAAATTTTTATTTTATTTTTAAGCTACATGAAAATATTATTCATCTTGCTTTTTGCGGTACTGGGGTTTGCACTCAGGGCCTTCACCTTGAGCCACTTCACCAGCCCTTTTTTGTGATGGGTATTTTCAAGATAGGGTCTCGAGAACTAAGTCCCTGGGGTGACTTTGAACCGAGATCCTCCTGATCTCTGCGTCCTGAGTAGCTGGGATTACAGCCAGCTCCTGGCTTACTGTTGTTTTATTTTGTCTTGTTTTGTACTTCCTTAACATTTCATACTCCAGGGTGAGTTTCTTACCTGCCCCATCCTAGGTCCCAGCCCTGCTTCTAGATGTGCACTAGGGTAGTGGAGTCCAAAGGAAGCATCACACATATTCAGTCCCTGAAAGTCAGAGGAGAGCCAATTTCCTGCTTTTGGTCAGTTAACAATATCCAGAATACCCTCCATTTTTATAGTTACCTATTTTGGCTGTGCTGGGGATTGAACTCAGGGTCTCTCATTTGCAAAGCAAGTTTCCCAGCTCAGAAGTGAAATGTTTGTATGTTAAAGGTATTGTGCCAAACGTCCGTGTGTGTGTGTGTGGTGTGTGTGTGTGTGTGTGTGTCACTTGTGAACATCTCAGGGAAGGAATTCAATTCTCATAATGATCAGAAAAGAATTAAGTTAGCTCCCTTGGAACAAAGGACTTTCCAGTAACCACCCTTGCTAAAGATAGAAAACTGTGTGGAGGATGGTTTCAGGGAACCTGTAGTGGCAACATAAATGCTTGTTAGGGCTGACATCTGACCTTTGAATAATTTGAAACTGTTATCTTCTACTGAATTATGTATGGGTTTCTTTTCTTTTTTTTAATCTGTGCACGAGGGATCTAACCTAGGACATCAGACATGTTAGGGAAGTAGCCTACCATTGAGCTACACCCCCAGCCCATCTCCTCCCTCCCTCCCTCCCCCTTCATTCCTTCCTCCTAACTTCCTTCCTTCTCTCTCTCCCTTCTCTCCCCTTTCTTTATTTTTCCTTTCTTCTTTTTTTTTGGTGGTAACTCGGGTTTGAACTTAGGGACTTACGCTTGGTAGGCAGGCACTCTACCACTTGAGCCACTCTGCCAGCCCTTTTTTGTGTATTTTCAATGTAAGGTCTCCAGAACTGTTTGCCTGGGGCTGGCTTCAAACTACAAGTCTCCTGATTTCTGCCTTCTGAGTAGGTAAGATTATAGTTGTGTGCCACCAGCATCTGGCTTGCCCCTTCCTTCCTTCCTTCCTTCCTCTCTCCCTCCCTCCCTTCCTTTTTTTGAGATAGGGTCTCCCTGGCCTGGAACTCAAGGTCCTTCTGCCTCAGCCTCCCAAGAGCTGGGATTACAGGCATGTACCACTATGCCTGCCTTCTGTTTTTCTTTAATATAAAGTTTTCACAAGCCTGGTTGGTTGGCATACACTTGTCTTATGGACTACTGAGGAGGCTGAAGAAGGAGGACTGCTTGAGCCCAGTAGTTCTAGACCAGCCTTGGCATCATAGTGAGACTCTGTCTCAAAAACAAACATTCCCCCTAAAAGAAAAGAAAACAACAGCAGAAAAAAACACACACACACAAATAAAAACCAATTAACTACTACTTAATAGTTAAAGTATTTAATTAACTTATCCCTGAATTCTAAAGTTAAATCAGTCATAATTAAGGAAGGTTTTGTTTTTGTTTTTTGATTTTTGAGATAGGTCTCCCTATGCTGCCCAGGCTGGCCTTGATCTTGATCTCCTGTTTCACCTCACCAGTGCTGGGATTGCAGGGGTGAGGCATGATGCCAGGCAAAGGATGTTCTTGCTTTTTTTTTTTTTGTGGTGGGACTGGGGTTTGAACTTAGGGCTTATTGCTTGCAAAGCAGGTGCTCTACCCACTTGAGGCACAACTCCAGTCCATATTGTTCTGGTTTTTTGGAAATAGGATCTCAAGAAACTATTTTGTATGTGCTGGCCTCGAACTGAGATCCTCCTGATCTCAGCCTCCCAAGTAGACGTGGGCCACCTGCAGCAGCGTTCTTGTTTTGTTACAGTGGATCCCTTGGGCCACTCCCAAGTCCCCTCTGGTATACCACACTTTTTTCTTTCAACATTCATACATTTTCTGAAAGCTATAAAAACTGATACAGCTTGTGTTAAAGCTGTGAGCAAATTCAAACAAGATCCTGTAACTGACCGTGGTGGCAGGGGTGGCATTTAGATTTAGTGGTCAACTGTGCACAAGTGACTCACGCCTGTAATCCTAGCTACTTAGGAGGCTGAGATCAGGAGGATCGCCATTCAAGACCAACTCAGGCAAACAGGGCAAGAGACTCTCATCTCCAAAAAACCCAAAGCAAAATGGACTGAAAGATGTCCCAACAGATGGGAGCTTGGGCCAGTCAGTTCTGGGTGCCACATGCCAAATTGGATGGGCTGTGGTCAGGAGCGATCCTTCCTTCCTTCTGAGTTTGTGTCCCCAGGCTGTTTCCTATCTGTGAACTGTCATACTTTCTACCATTTTATAAGGGTACAACTACAGAAGCATGTCTGTGAAGTCATGGTAGCTGTTGTGCTTAACAACCAGAGGAAGCCAGGCACCGGTGTCTCACTTTGTAATCCTAGCTACTTGGAAGGCTGACATAGGAGGAGGGAGGATTCACCTGGGGCAAATAGTTTGCAAGACCCCATCTCCAAAATAACCAGAGCAAAATGGACTGGAGGTGTGGCTCAGGTGGCTGAGCTCTTGCTTTGCAAGCATGAAGTCCTGAGTTCAAACCCTAGTCCCACAAAAAAAAAAAAAAAATCCCGAAGGAGCACAGATCTTCCTTTGCAGTCTCACGTGCTTATTCCTTTGCATGTTATAAAAATTCTCCTGAAAACATTCTTTTCTGCTTACCAGTAATCCCTCTGAGCCAGGTGAGAGTCATTAACTTCGCTTATACCCAAGGAAACCGAGCTCATCTAGATTGATGGGGAAAGAGGGAGACTCGCCCCAGTTTCTCCTGTTAGTCACTAATAGGAACCGAAAGTCCTGGGTAAGGATTTATTTTCGGATTTCCTCTCCCAGGCAGGAGGTAATCTAACCCGTGGGCGGGAAACCAACCACTCTAGGCGGTAAGAGTCAGCGGCTGGACTCGACGCCCCGCCCCCGGCGCGAGCCCCGGATGAGGAAGTAGCGCGGCCATAGAGACGTGGCGGAGGCCTGGCTAGAGCGGCCTGGGGGGGGGGCGGGAAGGGGGCGGGACTCCGGGGCGGAGCCACAGGAGCGGCGCGGACTCTCAGGTGAGCGCTCGCTGGCTGGGTTGGGCCTGCCGGCGCCGGGAGCTTGGGGGCGGAAGCTGCGTGGATTGTGGGGGGCTTAGGTGGGGTGTCCCGAGGAGTCACTGGGGTACCTGTCCAAGGTCCGGCCCTCGGGGCCCGGCCTGAGGCGGGAAGGGGCTCCGGAGCTACGGGTGAGTGCCCCAGTTTAGGGCTTTGGAGGACTTGAGGGAGGGGGCCGTGACCCAGGTTCGAGTTCTGACTCTGCCCCCAGCCCGCTGTGTGACCTTGGACAAGTCTCTCTCCCGCTCAGCCTTAATGGCGAAAAGGAGGCAGGAGGGTCCGCTGAGAGTTGGTACAGATGGGGGATCGGGAAAGGAACCCCGGTTTTCCTATTTGTATGCCTCTTGCTGGGGACATTGTTCGCTAAACGTGAATTGTGGGAGTGTGTCTCATTTTCTTTAGTGACCTTGGGCTAGTGTATTGGGTTTCACTTTCCTCATCTACAAATGGAGGAGATGTTTATAACATTTGGGTGTTATTGGGGTACGTGGGTACCAGTTAGTGAGCGCCCCATTCACTGTCAGTCTTCCTGTTAGGGATGCGATGGAAGGAATATCTTTTCCCCTGGTTTGATGAGACCCCAGCCCACCTTCAGTTCCTAGAGTCGGCGGTTGTATTTGTTTTCCCTCACTCGACTTGTTATTGGAGGAGTGAGTTCATCAACCTCTTAGCTGAGCAACCTCAGAACCTTCACTGGCCTTTAAAAATCAAAGAGCTATTGCAGGAAGTCTGACTTTCCAGCCTTTTTGTCTGTTTCAACCGCAGGGAGGCAAGATGACATCTCTGCCCCAAGATTGGAACAGCTGAAGGGAGTCACTGGACAAGATGAGAACCACAAAGGTCTACAAACTGGTCATCCACAAGAAGGGCTTTGGGGGCAGTGGTCAGTATTGATTGGTCTTTGGGGCTTGTGCAGATTGGCTGGAGTTCTAATGTGCCCCATGTCTTGGAAAAATTACACACCATCTTATGTGGCAATGAAGGCTAGACAGACAACCAAGTGAAGCAGCAAATATACTACAGCAATAAGGAGGATGGTTGGACTGAGAGCACAGGTCCTTTTTGTTTAAATTTTTATTTTTGAATTAGGATGCATTAATATCAGAGGGGATTTCATTATGATAATGCATAATTTCGTTATGACATGCATAAACATGTCCTTTTTAAAAGCATTTGTATTCCACTTTTTTTTTTTTTTTTTTGTGGGACTCGGGTTTGAACTCAGGGCTTCCCAATTGCAAAGCAGGTGCTTTACTGCCTGAGCCAAACCTCCACTCCATTTGTTTTGCTCTGGTTATTTTGGAGATGTGGGTCTCTTGAACTATTTTCTGCAGGCTGGCCTCAAACTGCATTTCTCCAGATCTCAGCCTCCCAGTAGCTAGGGTTACAGGTGTGAACCATTGGTGCCTGCCCAGACATTTTTTTTGTTTTTTGTTTTGTGAGACAAGGTCTGGCTTTGTAGCTCAGGCTTATCTGGAACTTGATATATAGCCCAGACTGGCCTCAAACTCAAAATCCTTTTTCCTCATCCTCTGAGTGCTGGGATTACAGGCATGAGCCACCATGCCTGGCTTTGTGTTCAAATTTTTAAGGAACATTGTTAATTTTTTTGGTTTATTACCTTTCATTTGTTTATGTTGTTTATTACAAATTACTGTGTTTGTAAACTTTTAGCCTGCGCTGGCTTGGCAGATAAGAGAAACTAAAGTAATATTTCAGTTTTTACATTGCATAGATGTGCGTAGGACAGATTTGATTAAAGGATGAACCTTTGCTTGGCTGCTAGTCATAGAACAAAAGGGCAGGATGGAACATGTTACCCTGCACTAAAGCAGAATCCTACTCCAGTTCTGCCATTAACCTTCCCTATGACTTTAGGCAAGTCCCTAGCCCTAGTCTACTTAATCTGTGATTTCAAGCCTGACAGTCCTTTCTCTTAGCACCTTTCGTCCATAAATCTGCATTTAATTGTATGATTTTTTTTTCTTTTGTAAAGGAATAATTTTTCCTTCTTTGTGTGTGTGTGTGTGTGTGTGTGTGTGTGCATGTGTGTGGGAATTTATCCCCAGCTCTCCCTTCTGTCTTAAAAATGTTATTTACTTGAGCAAGTGGAATTAACAACATAGTGACTCTTTTTTTTTTCTCTCTCTCTTTCAGTACTGGAATTGAAACTAGGGCCTCCTACATGCTAGGCGAACATTTTACTGCTGAGTTATACTCCTGACCCTTAATTTGTATTATTTATTTATTTATTTTTGCATTACTGGGGTTTGAACCCAGGGCCTACACCTTGAGCCACTCCACCAGCAATTTTAGGTGATGGGTTTTTTTAAGACAGGGTCTCACGAACTATTTGCCCGAGCTGGCTTTGAACTGTGATACTCCTGATCTCTGCCTCCTGAGTAGCTGGGATTACAAGCGTAAGCCATCGGTGCCTGGCCTTAATTTATATTTTCATATGCATTGTTCCTGTTTTATAGATCTGTGTTATATACATATAAGCCTCTGTAGGGCAGGGACTGCTGGAAAGGGAAAACAGTAGTTTCTGTCTCAGGATGCTGTGAGATTTGTATAAAGATTGTAGCAGAGTACTGGGACCATGCTGAATAAATGTTGTCATTATAACTATTGGGACAAAGATATACCAGGCATGCAATTTTTGCTAAAATGCAACTTCTTTTGTTAACACTGTGCTTTGTATGTTGTCCATGTTGCCTAAACATTTATGAAGCAGAATAGACAACAGGAATAGCTCAGAGGGAATACCACAAGAGTACAGTGTAGATAGTATATATAATGTACTTAACACATGTTTTCACGTGTCTAAAACACATGTTACCTATGTGATATACCTACAACTGCAAAGAAAAATACAACCAGTAAATATTTATTAGGTATGCACCTATGGCAAACATAAAGATCGTGAACATGACAAGGTCCCTTGTCCCTAAGGAGCTTTCATGTCCCTAAGGAGACAAGCATGCAAGAAGGAAATGTTAAGCAAAACAAAATATGTGAACTGGGTGCCAGTGGCTCATGCTTGTAATCCTCACTATTCAGAAGGCAGAGATCAGGAGGGTCATGGTTTGAAGCTAACCCAGGAAATAGTTTGTGAGACCCTATCTCAAAAAAGCCCATTACAAAAAAGGGCTGGTAGAATGACTCAAGTTGTGGGCCCTAAGTTCAAACCCCAGTATTGCAAAATAAAAAAAGAAAAGAAAAATGACCAGCAGAGTAGCCTCAATTGGTAGAACTCCTATCCAGCAAGCATGAGGCCTGAGTTCACCTCCCAGTTACCCCATCCCCCCAAAAAGAAAAAAACACCAACAAGCAAACAAAACGCAAAAGCCCTACTACTGAGCTACACCTTTATATTTAAGGGTCTATTCAAATCCTAATGTGAACTGATGTCTGAAGTTGCTCCTGGATCAGATGCTGCCCTCTATTTGACACCAGCTTGACTCATAGAAGGAAACTGGCACAAGTTCCTGGCTATGCCACCAGCTGTGTAACTTACAACTTTTTCTCCCAGCTTATTTCCTCACTTGTGTTAACTATAAAGGTTTATTGTGAGGGCCACATTAAGACATTGGGGAAATTTTTTGAACATTGCATAAATGTAAGAGATAGACATATCTGGGACTCAGGCTGTTTTGAACTTGGTGTATGCCAAACCCACGATATTTGAGGGAGTAAAGGCCTGTCTCAGAGACATGAGGCACAATTCCCAGAGGCTGTGGGTCACTTTCTCCCTGGGAGCAGTGGGACAGTAGCTAGAGCATGCGCTCTGGAGACAAAGGTCTCTTGGCCCTGTCTGATTCATCTGCTCACTAGCTCAGCACTGAATTCCTGTGCAAAGCCTTTTCTGTTCTTTTTTTCAGTGATGGTGATTGAACCCAAGACCTCAGGGCCTCACACATGCTAGGCAAGTGTTCTGCCACTGAGTGACACCCTCCACAGTCACTCACATTGTTTAGCTGTTCTAAATCTGGATTCAAAATGGAAGGTCAGAGGCTAGGAGTGTAGCTCAGTGGTAGAGCATTTGCCTAGCATGCACCAGGCTCTGGGTTCCATGTCTAGCACCATAGAAAACAAACAAACAGCAAACTAGAAACAAAAAAAAATGGAATTGCACTAATACAATAAAAAGAAAAAGAACTTTTGGAAAGGGTTCATCTGTGAACTAGGGTAGTAATACTAACCTGATAGGGTACACACTCACAGTGTACCTATCACTTTAATAAGTGTGTTTTGCACTTAATATTTTAACCCGTTTAGGTATATGTGGGCTGGAGATTGAACCCAGTGCCTTCCCCATGCTGTACTGCTAGTCTCTGTTTTCTACTTACGTTCGCTGAATTGTCTTCCAGATGATGAGTTAGTTGTGAACCCAAAGTGTTTCCTCACATCAAGCTCGGAGACATTGTGGAGATTGCTCACCCAATGACGAATACAGGTGAGCATCTTGCTAACATCAAGGGAATAGTCTGTCTGCAGGGTTTGTTGCCTTTAAAAATGCTCATGTCTTTTGGGACTTGGAAACCTAATACTTTTTTTTTTTAAATGGTTCACTCTTTTGACTTGATAAATTTTAAAAAATTGGTCCATTCTTTCTGTTTTTTTAAAGTTGTGATGATAAATCTGAAAAGTCTGTTGAACTTCTCCATTTCCTTTCAGTGCAAGTACAGTTTCTTTGTTCTTCAGAGAGTGTGCCCCCTTGTGCTACAAACTGATCCCTTTGACCTTTGAGGGAGGTGAAGAAAGCTGGGGAAATTGCTGCTTGCAGCCTCCACATCATGGTTGCTTTCTTTTCTAGCCCTCTGCTTTTTGCAAGTCAAGTCACTTAAGGAAGATTTGCAAAAAGGTAAGCTTTACATCTGCTCTGAGCTTTTTATACTTACTGTCTCAGAAACTGTAAGAAATCTCTCTTCATAATCTGAGGGAATGAGGGTAAGTAGATTGGTCTTATCAAATTGTGTTCCCTCTAAAAACAAGTCAGATACCAAAACTGCCAAGGAACCTCATTTGTCAGCATCTTGAAGAATCTATATTTAGAGCCAGGAGAAAAGTTAATGTGGATATGGAAAACTTTATACTTAACTTCAAAAAAATTGATGATGAGAAGTATGTTTCCTAAATAGTGTATATTTTCCACAAAACATTTAAGTGCCTGTCCTATTCGAGGAAGTGGCACAGAAGAAACTATATCGATGACTGTCTTCCACTTGTATAGACTCTGAACCGGGAGCTTCTTCTAAAAGCTTTATTCTTTAAAGAGGTAATTAACTTAAAATGAGGTCATTAGGTCATTATCACAATGACCGATGTCCTTAAAGGAAGAGGAGATTAGAACACAGACACACAGAGAGAAGATCGTGTAAGGACAGAGGTCAACACAGAGGACCCTTCTTTTTGTGGGATTGGGGTTTGAACTCAGGGCTTCATGCTTGCAAAGCAGGTGTCCTATCTCTTGAGCCACACCTCTAGTCCATTTTGCTCTGGTCTCTTGAACTATTCGCTTGAGCTGGCCTCAAACCTCTATCCTCCTGATCTCATCCTCCCAAGTAGCTAAGATTACAGGCATGAGCCACTGGTGCCCTGCCAGAAGAACCTCTGAAAGACAAGGAAATAGGCCTTAGATGAAACCAGCCCCACTGACATCTTGATCTTGGACTTGTAGCATTCATAATTGTGAGAATATAAATTTCTGTTGTTTAAATAAAAACAAATAAAAAGAGCCTTATTTTCCCAACAATTCTTTGAATGAGGAAATTTATTTTCAGAACCACTATAAATTATTTTTTCTTTTGGCAGCACTGGGGGCTTGAACTCAGGGCATCACACTTGCTAGGCAGGTGCTGTACAACTTGAGCCACTCTGCCAGCCTCAGAGCAACTATAATTTAAATGAAGCCAGAAATGGTGGTGATTCTATTTACTCATTTTGGTCTTTTTTTTTTTTTGTCTGAATGGGGTCTTGCTGTGTTGCCCAGACTGACCTCAAACTCCTGGCTTAAGCAACCTCCTTCTTCTACTTCCTGTGTAACTGGAACTACTGGTGCCTGTTACCACACCTGACTACTTACTCATTCTGGATCCATGGATCCAAATCTTTCTCTTTTCCTCTAATGGCTATTCTACATTGTTCAAGGAGCCAACATGTTAACTGGGGATTGAACTCAGGACCTTGAGCTTACACTCTACCAGTGAGCTGCTGTACCTCCAGCACCTTTTTTTTTTGAGACAGGTTCTCTTTGTGTAGCCCATGCTTGTTTTGAACTCCTGATTCTCCTACCTCAGCCTCTCGAGTACTGGGCTTATAGGTATGTGCCACCATGCTAAGCTTTGTTTTTTTTTTTCCCCCATAATTGCTTTAGCACCTGAAAACCAGGGAACTTTAAATTTTAAGCTCCCAGAATGTAGACAACATATCTTTCCCATGGCAAATGCTGAATTGTGTTGCTTGTTGAATGTCTACATATTTATAGCTTAGAATATTTTTATCTGCTTTAAAATATATTAATCTGATCCAGATTTTTTTCTGTTTCAGAAACTATCAGTGTGGACCAGACTGTGACTCAGGTATTCCGGCTAAGACCTTATCAAGACGTCTATGTGAATGTTGTGGATCCCAAGGTGTGCCTTTGTTCAAGACCTCAATGTCTTTTTAGAATGATTAGCACCCTTCCTCCCAGATTAAGTCACTAAAGGAAATAGTGAGTTCATAATAAATAATGAGGGTAATAATAATAAGTGTAGAGTTAGACTATAAATACGTGGTCAGATTAGATTATAGGTGGTGTGTAGATTGCATTTACCTTTCCCCCCTGTTTTGAGGGTTTGTCCTAAATAGATTTTATGTATGAAAATGTATGCATAATTTTCTATTAAATTATTAAAATGTCTTTCTCTTCATTTTTCTTCATGAAGTGATGCTATGATTGGTAAAAAAAAAAAAAAAAAAATCATTGTCCAGAAGGTACTGTTGACATATTGGAAAATAAAGTATGTAGCTCCGTGTTATACTTGTATGGCAGAATCAAGAGTAAAACACAGGGCATGTTGGCATACACCTATAATCCCAGCTACTAGGAGGCTGAAATAGGAGGGTAGCTTGAACCCAGGGGTTTAAGGCCAGCCTGGGTAACACAGCGAGACTATCCCGAAAAGTAAACGCCAACCAATGAACAATAGCAAAAGACTAAAACAAGAATTAGTACTCTGATGCTCTTTGCACTAAATAGATGTTATTACTGCTGTAGGATTTGTTGTTGACTGATTATCCATACTTAAAACTGCCTCTGGGCAATGTGCCGTTGGCTCAGGAAGCAGAGATTAGGAGGATCGAGGTTCGAAGTCAGCCCAGACAAATAGTTCACAAGACCCTATCTTAAAAAAGCCCATAAAAAAAAAATGGCTGGTGGAGTGGCTCAAGGTATAGACCCTGAGTATATCACACACACGCATGCACACACATACACACAAGCTGCCTCTGATGTATAAAATTCAGTTTGTCAGGGTTTTCCTATTGAAAAGTCTTCCAGTTTTCTGTGTGTGTGTGTGTGTGTGTGTGTGTGAGAGAGAGAGAGAGAGAGAGAGAGAGAGAGAGAGACAGACAGACACTGGGGTTTGAACTCAGGGTTTCATGCTTGCAAAGTAGACACTCTACCACTTGAACCACACCTCCAGTCCATTTTGTTGTCATTATTTTGGGGATGGAATCTCTCGAACCATTTGCTCAGGCTGGACTTGAACCACTCCCAATCTCAGCCTCCCAAGTTGCTAGGATTACTGCTGTGAGCCACTGGCACCCAATCAATAATTTTGGTTTTTTGCAAAGCTTTTGTTCCGTCTTGGTGAGTGGACATTATCTGATTACTATAAAGTAATGCAGAGAGATGTTTAATTATCTCTTTTAGGATGTGACCCTTGACCTACTGGAATTAACTTTTAAGGATCAATTATTGGTCGTGGAGATATGTGGCGACTGAAGAAAAGTTGGTAGACATTGTTGCTTTTTTTCCATTATAAAGAATCCTTGTTTTGCTATTCTTGTTCTCTCTCTAGAGGTGGCCTGCTTTCTATCTGTTGAAAATGTATTCCTTTCTTATCAACTTACTTTACTATCAATTTCACTACAAAGAAAAAGAATAATCCTTGTTTATCATAGAGATTTAAAGGCTGTAGTGAGAGAAGAAGGTCATTTCTGATTTCACGACTGCAAAAGTTACTGTAAACGTGTTGTATCCTCTTCCATTCTTCATGGTTGTATTTTGTTTTTGTTTATTGTTAAAGATGTTACTCTGAATTTTAGGTTTGAATGGGAAATAATACTAATTTTACTTTTGAATGTGAGACTTTATTTTCTGATTGTCACTTGATTTCATTTGTTCTCCTGTTTCTTTTTTTTTTTCTGGTGGGAGCGGGGTTTGAACTCAGGACTCACACTTCCTAGGCAGGCACCTCTACTTGAGCCACACTCCACCCACTTTGGTTATTTGTTATTTGTTGAGGGACATTTCCATTTCCTAAAGTGAGAAATAGATCTGGGATGTTACTTAGTGGTAGAGCACTTGCCTAGATGTGTGAGACCCCCACTTGGATCCCTGGCCCTGGAGGGGAAGTGAACCTAGACATGATGTCTTACACCTGTACTCCTGAGAACTTGGGAGCCACGGCAGGAGAAACTTTAGTTTAAGACAGGCTTGGGGCTATATAGACCCTATTTCAAAACAAAAAACAAAAGAAAAATAAACTGTAGCAAAGATGAATGTGTAATGTAGAACTTGTGGAAAACATATGTGAAGAATAAGTACATTTGCTAGGCTGCCCTCATTATCCTCCTGGAATGAGTGGTGTAGTCTACACACTCGCCAACTTCTTATATACCTATATTATACCTGCTCAGCAGGTTTTCCTGTGGGGCAAACCTATTACTTCCAGGCTGATTATGCTGATTGAACTTGGGGTTATTAGAAGAGATTAGAAAGCTAGAGACCTTGTTCCTGACTTTTCATGGCTTAATCAGGTTTGACTTTACTCTCTCTTTTTCTCTCTTCCTTTAGGTGAGGCACAGTGTGCCTACATCATTCAGAAGGTAGAATTTGCTGGTAATCAAGGTAGGGTATACATTACCCTGGACAGAATAACGCAGTAAACAGGAGAATTTAGTGGTAGGAACTGGGCTACAG